AATGTTGGGCTGTGGGGGTATGGAATTAGTGTGATGGGGGCTTCTGTGTGCTAGGGGTTCCTATCACGCAGAACCCCTAACCTGTGAGTTGGGATAAATGGAGTGTTTCTTTGAATCATTCCACAGATTTTTTTTTTTCTTTGAGACAGAGTCTCACTCTGTTGCCAGGCTGGAGTGCAGTGGCGTGATCTCGGCTCACTGCAACCTCTGCCTCCCAGGTTCAAGCGATTCTCATGGCCTTAGCCTCCTGAGTAGCTGAGACTACAGGTGCATGCCTCCACGCCCAGCTAATTTTTGTATTTTTAGTAGAGACGGGTTTTACCATGTTGGCCAGGATGGTCTTGATCTCTTGACCTCATGATCTGCCCACCTTGGCCTCCCAAAGTGCTGGGATTACAGGCGTGAGCCACCGTGCCTGGCCCTCATTCCACAGATAATTTTATTGAGTGTGTAATGCATGCTGTACTTTGCTAGGTATTGAGGATATGATAGTGAGCAACAGCAGGCACAGTTCTTGCTCTCCTGGAACTTACAAGTCTAGTTTCTGGGGTAGGGGAGGGTGGGAGGAAGGAAGAATAGGGAGTGTTCTGGGCTGGGTGAATATGTGTGTGGGTGTTTTCAGGGGTGTATCTTTGATAGGGAGGGTGTCTGAATGTATATTTGTGTATGGATATGTTGGGAGAGTGCACAGGAGGACTGTGGGAAGGCTGAGGGTGTAGGTGTGTGGACATGGTTTGCAGATGTTCAGGTGTTTGGTGTGTGACTGTCAGGAGGGTGTGTTCCAGATGGGAAGAGAGTGTGTATGTAAGAGGTATGATAGAGGTATGTAAGAAGGGCATTTCAAGTGATGGTGCCTGTGGGGGTGTTTGCACACGAGTAAACATGGGGAGTAGAAGGGATGTGAGGGGTTGGAGGGTAGAGGTCTATCTGGTGTGCACTGGGGGCATTTCTTGGGAGCAGCAGTGTTTAAGGATGGCTGGAGCATCTCCTGTGACCTGAGGATGTGCCAGTCATGTCCTGGTACCACTTGGGGCAGGCCGTCTGCCCCCATCACGTCATCTGTTCCCCCTCACCCACAGCAGCACACTCCTTGGTGTGTGTATGGCCAAAGAGGGCCTGGACACAGGGTACCCTGGATGAGGCTCCAAGGCTCCTGCTGTACTTTTCCTCTTCTTAGCAGGAGCTGGAGGGTGTCTGAGGAATACAGGAGGGACATGGGAGGAGGGCTGTTGGGCTGAGGGCTCCCTGTCTGGATGCCATTTCTTCCTGCTGCCCTGTTCACAAACCTGGGGTGCTTAACTCCCTCTGTTAATCAACATGAAGTCACTGCTGGCAACCTGGAGCCTGCAAGATCTCTGCCCCCTGATGGAGGGGAAGGTGTCTGGAGCCCAAACTTTCTGCATTATGATCCCCACCCTCAACCTCTCTCACATACACCCATGCATTCATGTACATATATGTGTACATAGCATCCCTTGAGCTGTCCTCACCTGACGTACTGAACTCTGGGGTGGTCCGGGTCCCCCAGAGATGGCTGGGTAGCTGGTTTTGGCAGCCTCTACCTGTGAGGTGTGAAGTTGGGGCTGGGGTGGCAGGTGAGTGGGGGGGTGGTCCTTGGAGCTGGCTGGGGCTGGGCTTACCAGCTCCACCTCCTGCAGGCTCTGAAGCGGAAGCCAGACTTATTCCTGTGTGAACGACTGGATGTCAAAGCTGTGTTCCAATGTGGTAAGTGGGGCCAGATGGACAGGTGGGTCTGGGGCTCCCCCATGAGGATCCTTACGCCCCATCTGATCTGCCTCTGCCTCTCCCACAGCTGTGCTGGCCCTCAAGTTCCCTGAGGCACCTACTGTCAAGGCCTCCTGTGGCTTCTTTGTGAGTCCCATTATGAAACCTGACCCACTGCCACCCCAATGCCCTGCCCTGCCCAGGACTCCAGACGGTAGGGCTGTGGTGTACAGCTCTTGTCCTCACGGAGAGCTGGGAAGGAGCTGGGCTGATGGGCCTCTCCATCCTCTGCAGACAGAGCTGCTGCCTCGGTGTGGGGAAGTAGAGTCTGTGGGAAAGGTGGTACAGGAAGATGGTCGTATGCTGCTCATAGCAGTGCTGGAGGTGAGATGGAGCAAAGGGGGGTATTATGGGGGTGAGGGCCCCACACTGCTGAGGCAGCTCACCTTCTGGGAGGCTTGAGCCTTTGGTTCCTTTGAGCTCTAAGATTCTGTTTCTTCTTCAGTTAAATGACTGAAAGTTGTTAGGATTGCTGTGGGGATCAGCTGGCTCTCAAAAAAGCAGCGCTCACTATTACATACAGATTGGCTTAGGAACTGTCCAGAGGGCCTGGGGCACAGTTAGACATTCTTGCTGCAGAAGGGGCAACACCCTGGTGTGCTGAGAGCCCCTCTCCCTCAGGCCATTGGGGGCCAGGCCTCCCGCAGCCTCATGGACTGCTTTGCCGACATCCTGTTCGCCCTGAACAAGCACTGCTTCAGCCTCCTGAGCATGTGGATCAAGGAGGCCCTGCAGCCACCTGGTTTTCCCTCTGCCCGCCTCAGCCCTGAACAGAAGGATACCTTCAGCCAGCAGATCCTTCGGTGAGCAGAGCTGGGGTGGACCTTGGCTCAGGCAGAGAAGGGGCAGTGGTGGTGGTTGGTGCTAACCTACTGTCCCTTTTCTCCTTCAGTGAGCGAGTGAACAAGAGGCGGGTGAAGGAGATGGTGAAGGAGTTCACACTGCTGTGCCGGGGTCTCCATGGCACAGATTACACAGCTGACTACTGAGGGGTGCTCCCATCCCACTCACCCCTTCTCTTCACCCTTCCCTATCCCCAAAGAGTAAACCTGGACCCTCACTGCTGCCTCTGCCTCCTTTCTGCTGCCACCACCACCTAACTGAAAGCCTGGGTCCAGAAGGCCTGAGGGAAGGACGGGAGGATGCTTGGACGCAGGCCTTGTCGGGGGAATGGTGGGAACACCCTCTAGCTCCCAGGTTGGAAGAGATATTGCTGTAGCCAAGCCACCTAGGCTGGAGCCCTTCAGAATACGGTCATTGCCCTTGGGGTGGGGTGGCTGCAGTAGTGTCATCAACCCCCCATTTCCATTAAATTAGTCCCAGCATGAATGTATACGTACATTTGTTTAATCAACAGCACTGAGTACTAGGCCCCCAAGCGCTGTCCTGCATTCTTCTGCCCTGAAAAAAGGTTGATCTAGTCTATAGCTACCATGCTAAGCTGGGAGAAGGGTGAGGAAGTGAGGGAAGGCTGTGTGGAGGAAGTTTTTGACAGGAATAGCAGCCTTCCTAGGTGCAGGACTTGGGGCTTTGGGCTGCAAGTCGGGTAGGGCTGGGTCCATTTGAGAGGGAAGAAATGGAGTGGGGTCTTGACTTCCAGGATGGGTTTCTGATGTGGAGTTAATACAACATTGAACTTGCATATGGTTGAGGAGGGCTATAGAAAGGAGCTGAGTGTGTGTGTGTGTTGGGAGCGGGGGGCAGTGGCAGGGAGGTGAGGGAGAGAAGATATCTGAGCCCCAGAGGAGGAAAGAGGAAAGCAGGACCTAGTGTCCATATGTCCACTGCTCCCCACTTACACAGGACCTCCAGCACAGGATGGTCAGGGATCGGTCAGCACCATGGACAGCTCCTGATCTGCTATGGTTTTCCTCCCTTAGCAGGATTGCCTCCGTTCTGTCTGCTCAGCTATGGTTTCACCTGGGTTGCCTCTCAGGTACCCCGGGCTTCTCAGTAAGATTTGAAGAGCAGGACTGAGTTTTCCCCCACTCTCACCCGTGAGCTTTGAATCTCTTTATAGGTGATAAGGGAATTGGTTACTCCCACATTCATCCCACTCAGTAGATCTGGATTTGATGCTGGTTGTGCTACTGAATTAGTGTTTTATTACACAAGCAGTCTCTTTGAACCTCAGTTTCCTTATCTGACAAAAGTATGTAAGGAGGGCATTTCAAGTGATGGTGCAAGTGTGGGAGTGTTTGCACATGAGTAAACATGGGGAGTAGAGGGGATGTGAGAGGCTGAAGGCTAGAGGTCTATGTGGTATGCACAGGGGGCATTGCTGGGGAGAAGCAGTGTTTGAAGATGGCTGGAGCTGTGGGGGCATTGCTGGGGAGAAGCAGTGTTTGAAGATGGCTGGAGCTGTGCAGAGCATCTCCTATGACCGGAGGATGTGCCAGTCATATCCTGGTACCACTCGGGATAATTCTTACTCCAAACAGTATAAACTCTTAAAAATGAAGTGCCTAATGTACAGTAAGTGCTCAGTATTTGGTTAAGTAGCAAATGCTTTCACTGCATGTGATATCCAAAGAACTACTCTGTAAAGTTTTGTATATAAATTAATTTGACCCTCACAACAATCTTATTAAGAGGCACTATTGTCATAACTCCCCATTCTGTAGATAAAGAAATGGGCATAGAGACATTCCTAAGATACTCTAGCAAGTGACCAAGCACAATATTCAAACCCGAGCAGGTCGGCACCAAGTTTAAAATTATGCAGTGAAGCCAGGAACGGTGGCTCATGCCTGTAATCTCAGCATTTGGGAGGCCGAGGTAAGTCGATTGCTTGAGCTCAGGAGTTTGTGACCAGCTTGAGCAACATGGCGAAAACCTGTCTCTGCAAAAAAATACAAAAATCAGCTGCATGTGGTGGCGCGCGCCTGTAGTCCTAGCTACTCCGGAGGCTGAGGTGGGAGGATGGCTTCAGCCCAGGAGGCGAAGGTTGTCGAGATCGCGCCACTGCACTTCGGTCCAAGTAACAGCCAGACCTGGTCTAAAAAAAAAAAAAAGATAAAGGAAGAAAAAAAAATATTAAATGATACTGCCCAGAGGATAGAATGATACTGCTCAGAGGATAAATGCTTAACGGTGAAGTCAGTGTTCCTGAGGACCGTGGCTGGGCTGATCAGCAGGAGGACTCCCAGCGCCCCAGAGAAGCGCCAAGGGAACTACAATGCCCACAAGGCTCCACGCCTTCCTCGAGACACTTCCGGCCGGCCTGGGATTCAGGCAGAACCTTGGTTCTCTGTGCGGGGCTTGATGGCGAGGATTGGAGGGCGGGAGCCGTGCTGATTTAGGATTGGTAAAATCTCTACCAGCCACGCCTCTAGAACCCGGAAGTAACCTCCCCGGTAGTCCCGCGTGTAGCGGGGAAACGAGCTAGGCTGGCTGAAGGGGATGGCTACCGGCTGAAGGCCGACCGTGATTCCTGCTACCTCCACGAGGCGATTCTGACCCACTGAGTGCTGCTTTTGAGGACGCGGGCCCCGTAGCTGACCCAGGGAGGTCCCCGCTGCATCCCACCACCCAAGCTGTGCATCATGGAGTCGACGTTTAGCAGCCCTGCCGAGGCGGCGCTGCAGCGAGAGGCCGGGGTGCCAGGACTGCTCACTCCTCTCCCGGACTTGGACCGAGTGTACGAGCTGGAGCGAGTCGCTGGATTTGTCCGTGATCTGGGGTGTGAACGAGTGAGGACAGACTTAGGGAAGGGTGGTGGTTGGTTCGCCTCTGTGGGGATGGGTCGTCCAGAGGATCCGGATTTTGGGGGATTTTGTGAGGGCAAGGGGGTGGGGGAATCGGTTTGTCCGCAGCACGTTGACCACCCCTCCCTTCCACCGTAGGGCAGAGTGCCCCTCTGGGACCAGGTTGAAGGTTCAGTAGGAGCTCCCAGAAGATTGCCTTTAAAGAGGTCCTCGGTGGGAGAGAGGCTGTCCCTGACTTCATGGCTTATGCTTATAGGTTGCCTTGCAGTTCCCTGACCAGCTATTGGGAGATGCTGTCGCTGTGGCTGCACGATTGGAGGATACGACAGGGTCAAAGATGTTCATTCTGGGGGACACAGCCTACGGCAGGTGTGAACTTGGCCTAAGGTGGGCCAGGCCTGGGGATCCAGGGCTTACCGGGTTTTACCTCTATGACAGCGTTTGCCTTCAATGGTGGTGTTTCTCCTTGATGATAATGGTAATAACTCCTCTCTTGATGCTAGTAGCTCCCTTCATTGACAATGTCTTCCTTTTATGAAACCATTTTATACACTGACCACATTTCCCAGTGATGACAGCAACTCGCCGCCAGAAGAGACCCCGTTTCACTGATGCTGTCTCCCCTGCAGCTGCTGTGTGGATGTACTGGGTGCTGAGCAAGCTGGAGCTCAGGCTCTCGTACATTTTGGCCCTGCCTGCTTAAGCCCCCCAGCCCGTCCACTGCCTGTCACCTTCGTCCTTGGTCATCGTTCTGTGGCCTTGGAGCTCTGCGCCAAGGCCTTTGAGGCCCAGAACCCAGACCCCAAAGCGCCTGTGGTGCTGCTGAGTGAGCCGGCCTGTGCCCATGCCCTGGGTAAGGGGTTTTGCCTGTGTATGCACAAAGGGTGAGCCAACTGCTTTATGCCTTAATTTCCCCATTTCCATATACTTCCATAGAATTCTTGATATGGGCTTGGCCCTAGCCTACTGGATCATATTTATTCTCCTGGGGATGAAAGAGCTCCTACTTTGCCAGGCTCCAACCTCCACACTACGTCCTTCTCTTCCAGAGGCCTTGGCTACCCTCCTGCGCCCGCGGTACCAGGACCTGCTAGTCTCCAGCCCAGCTTTACCCCTGCCAGTGGGGTCCCTGAGTCCAGAGCCTAAGCCCCTGGAGCGTTTTGGCCGCCGTTTCCCCCTTGCCCCAGGGAGGCGTCTAGAAGAGTATGGTGCCTTCTTTGTGGGGGGCTCTGAGGCCAGCCCTGACCTGGACCTTGACCCAGACCTGAGTCGGCTGCTCTTGGGATGGGCACCAGGTCAACCCTTCTCCTCCTGCTGCCCAGATACAGGGAAGACTCAGGATGAGGGTGCCCGGGCTGGACGGCTAAGGGCACGAAGACAATATCTGGTAGAGAGGGCCAGAGATGCCCGCGTGGTAGGGCTGCTGGCAGGCACACTGGGTGTGGCCCAGCACCGTGAGGCACTGGCCCACTTGCGGAACCTGACTCAGGCTGCTGGCAAGCGTAGCTATGTGTTGGCCCTGGGGCGGCCCACCCCTGCCAAGCTTGCCAACTTCCCTGAGATGGATGTCTTTGTGCTATTAGCATGTCCTCTGGGTGCCCTATCCCCTCAGCTTTCTGGTAGCTTCTTCCGGCCTATACTGGCACCGTGTGAGCTGGAAGCTTCCTGCAACCCTGCCTGGCCACCTCCAGGCCTGGCTCCCTACCTCACACATTACGCGGACTTGTTGCCTGGTGAGTAGTGGGGCATTGCCTAAGCTGGAAACCTGGGGCATGGAGTTGGGGCGAGTATGGATTTTCTTTCATCCTCCCTTTCAGGCTCTCCCTTCCACGTGCCTCTCCCACCACCTGAGTCAGAGCTGTGGGAAACCCCAGATGTGTCACTCATTACTGGAGAGCTCCGACCCCCACCTGCCTGGAAGTCATCAAATGATCCTGGAAGCTTGGCCGTGACCCCACGGCCCCAGCTGGAGCTGGCTGAGAGCAGTCCGGCAGGTAAATGTGCAAGTCTCCACCCCCAGCTGAACTCCTTCTCCAGATGCAGCACACCCAGACTGAGCTCCTTCCCTCTACAGCCTCATTCCTTAGTTCTCGGAGCTGGCAAGGACTGGAGCCCCGCCTGGGTCAGACACCCGTGACAGAAGCTGTGAGTGGAAGACGAGGGATTGCCATCGCCTATGAGGATGAGGGAAACAGCTGATACCATGTGGGGTTGGAAACACAGATGGACTTACGAATGGCTGCTAGGACCTTTAGTGCTCCCTTCACCAACCTCCCATCCCCCTGCCGGATCCTTGAAGGACCCTGGAAGGAGGGAGAGCAGGCAGCCTTTCACTGAGGATAGGATCCGTCTTTGTCCTGTCCTGGCGCTGGCACAAGCTCAGCACATGCTCAGTAAATGCTTGTTGTTTGGCTGGTGGAATAAAGGGCTTAGGGCCTTCCCTGAGGCCTCTGGACCCATCTGTCTTCTTGGGAGCAGCCCAGGACCTTTGGCCAATCCCAGTTCCTGGTCTGTAGTTGAGGGTCTGCCTTTGTCAAAAGGCAAGTGCTAGACAGTCTAGACCAGGGTTTCTCCAACTCATACTGTTGACATTTGGGGCCAGATAATGCTTTGTTGTGGGGCCTGTCCAGCGTATGGTAGGGTGCTGAACAGCATCCCTGGCCTCTGCCCACTAGACAGCAGAAGCACTTTCCCAACTATGACAACCAAAAATGTCTCCAGACATTGGCAAATGTTCCCTGTGGGGGCAAAATTGCCTTCAATTGAGAACCACTGGTGTAGCTAGACCTGCACTGTCCAGTACATTAGCCACTAAATACATGTGGCTAAACTTAAACTTAAGTTAATTAAGATGAAAAGCTGTTTCTCAGTCACATTAGTCATTCAAGTGTTCAGATAGCCACATGAGGGGACAGTGCAGCTACGGGCTATGCCATCATGAAAGTTCTGTTTGTTGGACAGTGTTGGTCTATATTGACTGATTTATTTCTCAGGGAGATCACAGAAACCTGAATAAACCAGATACCTTTTCTCTTTATATTTCTTTTTCATTCATGAAATACTATAGGTCCTGCACAGGTCCTGGGATGTAGATGTTAATTGTATTTGACCAGATTCCTTTCCAGTGTACTTGGAAAGAGAGTTAAATATGCAGTCAGCACACAGTGAAACAGTCCTATCTGAGGAGGGAAGCCTCAGGGACAGCTGGATCCCACAGGAGGTACCTGACAAGGACTGAGAGGAGGCTTCCCAGAGGGCTAACACCTAAACTGGATCTTGTGGAGGAAAAAAATTATTGTCAGGAGAAGAATGAAAAAAGACATTTGGGCTTAAATACAGGCACGAACCAACATGGCGGCTGCTTCAAGCAAGTGGGGTTGATGGATGCTTAAGGTGAAGAGGAGTGAAATGAAAAGACTCGCCTCTTCCCCACATTTGTTGAGAATCTTGTCACAGTGGCATTGTCCAGGGTATTGAAAGTAAACAAAGGAGATGTGGTCCCTGCCCTCAGGGAATGCCTAATCTAATGGTGGCGGCAGAACTGTAAACTGACTTAAGGTAACCTGGGCAAAGTGGGCATCAATCATGTTTTCTACAGATAGGTACTGAGGACACACTTTGTGCCAGGCACTGGAAATACAGCAGTGAATGATACAAAAGCCATGGTGCTTACACTCTTCCAGGGCGAGATGGACAAATAAAATACTTAGTATGCCAAATGGTGATCAGTAAGTACCGTGAGAAATGTAAAGCTGGGAAGCAGAGGAGCGTTTAAGGGAGGCGTTGCAGTATTAAGCAGAATGGTCAGGGAAGGCCTTTTCAAGAAGGTGAGCAAAAACTGAAGGGAAGTTACAGGATGAGCCGCATGGATAGGAGAAGCAGAGGGAGCAAGTGCAAAGGTAGTGAGGTGGGGGTATGGCTGGCACGTTCAAGGAAATAGCAAGGAGGGCAGTGCAGCCAGAGGAGTTAGTGGGGGAGTATTAGAAGGTGAAGTCAGCTGAGGGGCGTGGGGCGCCTAGCAGGCCGTTGTGAGGACTTTGGCTGTTCTTCTGAATGAAATGGGAGCCATCAGGGCATTTCGACAGGGCACTGACATCTTACTGAACCTTAATAAGCATCACCAGGACATCGGGGAAACCCAGCAGGCGCGCTTCCCTGCCACTGGGTTAGGGAAGGCCTGCCGGCAGGACGATTTCAGAGGACGGCAGATGTTAGCCAGGCAGCGGAACTGGCGCCAAGAGGCGCGCGGGGGCGGAGAGGCGGCGTGAGCAAGATGAAGCAGAGGGCACGCGCGGCGCCGCCCGCCACTGGCTAGGACGTATGGTGGCCAGACGGGAGGTCTTAGGGGCCCGCGAGCAGGCTCGGAATAAAACAGGGCTGGCAGGGCGAGGTGGAGACACTCGAGAAGGACCGGCCATATATCGAAGTTCTTAGGAGGGCGCCCGAGCCTCCACCGAGACGCAGAACTACAACCACCACAATCCCCAGCGCCTGCGGTTGCGGCGTTGCCTCGTTCTAGACCCGCGGCGGCGCTGCGCGGGGACCGACGTGGGGTCACGTGACGCCGGCGAGTCAGGTGACACTGCGGGGCGGGCGGACAGACTGCGGGGCGGACGGTGGACGCTGGGACGCGTTTGTAGCTCCGGCCCCACCGTTCCGACCCCCGGACCCCCGCCGTCGTCGCCGCCATGACGGGGCTAGCGCTGCTCTACTCCGGAGTCTTCGTGGCCTTCTGGGCCTGCGCGCTGGTTGTGGGTGAGGCCGGGCCCTGGCGGGCGGGGGCAACATGGCGGGCGGGGGCTGCATCGCGACCAAACTGGCCCGGCTGGAGCCCAGCGGGAAAGTACCCTGCAAGGAATACTGGGCCCCTGCGCGCTCTGCACCCCGGGATCTGGGGACGCGCGCCTGCGAGTGTCTCTGACCCCGACAAAGGAGACCCAGATCTCCAGCTGCTTGAAGAGGGGCACGGGCAGGTGGGGGCCGCGAGGGCAGCACTCCCCTTTCCTGCCACTATCGCTGTCTCCCCCCGCCCCCACGTCTCACTGCAGTCCCCCCTTTCTTGCGCCTGACCGGCCCGCTTGGTCACAAGCCGGCTGCTCCGGTTCCTCTTTTCCCGGTCGCTTTGCCCTCCCCCACCCACAGCTTGTTGGGTAAACAGCGGAACGGACTGGGCCGGCAGGATCTGGCGGGGCCTGGCTGGAGCGCTTGCTCCCTCCGTCTCGCCTCGGATTCAGGCCTGCTTGTGGCGACTGCCTGCGCAAGAGCTTGGTCTGGGAGGTGGCAGAAAATTGAGGCCTAAGCAGAGGAGACAGCTGTACTGTCACCTGGGGCGGGGGGTGGGGGGGGAGCAGCCTGAGGACGCCAGGGAGGTGGCCCTTCAGCTCGGTAGCTACTACTTTAGGTTGAGGAACTTCTCTGTACAAAGCAGCCCGTAACCCCCTTTTTCACTCACTGCTGCAGGAATCTGCTACACCATTTTTGACTTGGGCTTCCGCTTTGATGTGGCATGGTAAGGGAGGGCAGGGGCAGGATTCCCCTTAAAGCTTCTTCCCTGCAGCTTCTCCTCTCCTCTGGTCCCACCCCTTCCACACCACCGCCTGTCTGGGACATGGACCTTCGGAAATATGCAGTCCCTTGTTGCATGTGGAACTGGTGGGGTCAAGGAGGGTTGGTGGGCTAAGATTTTGTGCCCCACTTCCCTGCCAGGGCTCAACTGCTGCCTTCAGTTGCTGCTTTCTCTGCCTCCACAACAGGTTCCTGACGGAGACTTCGCCCTTCATGTGGTCCAACCTCGGCATTGGCCTGGCTATCTCCCTGTCTGTGGTTGGGGCAGCCTGGTGAGTACTGGGGTGGTGGACTCGGGGCAGGAGCTGAGTCATGGCAGGTGGTGTCACTGGGCTCTTAGTTATGCTGGGGGCAGTGACAGCTTGGGCTCTGCTCATCAGTTTTTTATCTTTCCCCCAGGGGCATCTATATTACCGGCTCCTCCATCATTGGGGGAGGGGTGAAGGCCCCCAGGATCAAGACCAAGAACTTGGTCAGGTAAGTGTAAGCGTCCTTGGACGTCTGTCAGAACCAGCTGTGTTGGTGCTGCTTGTGTGTGTGATCTCAGGTACTGCTTCTGACAAGCCGCCTGGTGGGATGGGATGTTAGTGGGGAAAGGTTGCTGGGGACTTTCTGGGCAGGCAGGATGGTTTCTTTCTCATCTCTTTCTCTTTTCCACTCCCTACCCGTAATCTCTACCACGACCAGCATCATCTTCTGTGAGGCTGTGGCCATCTATGGCATCATCATGGCAATTGTCATTAGCAACATGGCTGAGGTATGGAAGGCCAGGGTGGGGGCAGGAATCCATTCCGGTGTGTTCTACACATTGGTTAGAGATTGGATTCTGATTACTTTTCTTCTTCCCTCAGCCTTTCAGTGCCACGGACCCTAAGGCCATAGGCCATCGGAACTACCATGCAGGTAGGTGTCTGGGCATGTGAAGGCAAAATGCTGGGCCTTCATGCCTGCTTCCCTCCCCCTCTCCCAGCTTGGAGCCACATTTTAATATTCTGTTACCTACTTTGGCCTGCTTTCCAGAGTGGGGATGGGGATTAGCCCCATTAGCCCATATCATCCCCATTCCTGGCTCAGCCTCACTGTACCCCTCTCTATCCTCCCAGGCTACTCCATGTTTGGGGCTGGCCTCACCGTAGGCCTGTCTAACCTCTTCTGTGGAGTCTGTGTGGGCATCGTGGGCAGTGGGGCTGCCCTGGCCGATGCTCAGAACCCCAGCCTCTTTGTGAAGATTCTCATCGTGGAGATCTTTGGCAGCGCCATTGGCCTCTTTGGGGTCATCGTCGCAATTCTTCAGGTGCTGAATCCCCTTGGGGAGCCGCTGCGTCCTTGTCCCCAACCTAGCCTCACTCTCCTTCTGGAGAAGCTGAAGCGCGCTCTCTACCTATAACTATAGAGTCCCCCAAACAGCTTCCACCTCCTCATTTCCATCTTCTGGTTTTCTCCTACGGGGGCTCTCTATTTTTGGCTTTGATTTGGTGTCACTGACAACAGCCCTGTTCCCCCCACCCCCAATGCTTTGTATCTGTATAGCTCTCACTTAGTCTCTCCCTCTTTTTTTCATTTCTGTTCTTTCATGCTCTTCATGTCTCTTGTCTGTATTTGTGATCTAGACTAGAATGGGATTTTGTCTGTTTATATCAGTCTGTCATGGTGTGTTTGACCGTCTCTTGGAGCTATGTGTATCTCTGTGAGATGCCTGTCAGTAGGACAGCATTGTCTAAATTGTGTGTGTCTAGTCTGAAAGTGTAAGTTTGTGACTAAGGATCAGCTTGAGGGTCTGAGTGTGACTGTGGCTGCTTGACTGGGTTGACTCTTAGTGACTACCTTTATCCATACGTCACTTCTCTCCATCTGTCTGTCCCACAGCCTAACTCTGTGGTTGTCTGTCATAGTGTGTCCCTCATGGTTAGTCATACATCTCTTGTGATCTGTCCATCCAACCATGTGCTAGGTCTAAATCTGTCATTTGTCACTGCCTTACCTATTCCTCTGTCCCCGCCTGATTTCTCCTCTTCTTCTTTTGCAGACCTCCAGAGTGAAGATGGGTGACTAGACGATACGTGTGGGTGGGGCCGTGCCTCACTCTTATTTATTGCTGGTTTAACTGGGACAGCTGGAGCTGTATCCCTTAGCCTTTCAGAGGCTTGGTGTTCAGGGCCCTCCCTGCACTCACCTCTCGCTGCCTGTTGACTTGGAGGCACTGCAGTCCAGGCTGAGTCCTCAGTGCGGGGAGCAGGCTGTTGCTGATGATTCTGTGCAGCTGTGCACCTGTCTCCTCCACCTCTACCCCCAACCCATTGTCCTAGTGTTTGTGAAATAAACTTGGTATTTGTCTGGGTCAGTGCCGCTTCTGTTGTCCTCTTGCGCCACCATTCACAGAGGAATGGTAAAGGGGCCTGTACGCCTCAGCCTCATGCCAATCCCTTGTCCGCTTTCTGACTGCACACCTCTGATCTGCACAGAGCTGGCTCCTGGGTAGAGAGGTAAGGGTGCTGGGCAGAGGACTCTGTAGCCCCCAAACATCCTTGTTGAGGGGATGAGGGAGTGTGCAGATATGGGCCCTTGGTGTGTTTGTGCCTGTGACTCCTTTGCTCAGCAGTCTAACTGACCACCATGCCCGAGTTGTCTGACTACGTCTACTTACCTGGTGGTACACTGGGGCATCAACATCTCCGTCTCTGTGAGGCCTGGAGCCCAGGCAGTGGCCTCTACCCCGAGTGATAGTCCAGTCCCAGCAGTATCTCCTCCCAGAAACCTCTACTCTGATCCTTGTTCCCAGGGCCCTAGGGAGCTCCTCCTGACCCTGTCCAATATTGTTTTCTCTTTCCCTGACCCTGTTTCCTGTTACCCTAGAAGCCCTGGCCACCTCCAGCCCACGCCTTTAAGGGTTCTGCCCCCTCTCTGCTGGTCGATCTTGAATCTTGCTCCAATTAAAGAGTTGACAAATCCCTAGTCCCCCTGCTTCAGTCCGCCCAACCTCCAGGCCCCCCGTCCTGTGGAGCTCGCACTCGGATCCAATCCCTACTCCCCGCTAAAGGGCTCTACAGTCCGCACCCGCTCGCCGATCCGACCTCTAAGCCCACCCCTTGGACAAGCCTGACCCATTTACTCCGCCCCTCTCGGGTCCCTGTCTCCTGGGTGCCCCGGCTCTGCCGCGGGCAGGGCGGGCTCACAGCGGCGCGCGGCGGGTACGGGCGTGCTGGAGGCGGGCGCGCGCGCGCGGGCGCGCGGGCCAGGCCTGCCCCTCCGAGGCGCCGTAGCGCGGGAGGGAGGCGGCGGCGCTGTGGTCCTTGGGTTCGCCGGTCCGTGGGTCTGCCCGGCCGCCCGGCCCCGCCCTGCCCCCCGGGGCGGCTCGGCTCCATGGCCGGCGGCGGCGGCGGCGGCGGCGGGAGGCGACCCGGGGGCCGCGGTGGCCGCTGACCGGACGGCGGGAGGCGGCGGGGCCGGGCCATGGGGGACGGAACCGTCCGCAGCCGCCGGAGCCGGGAGCCCTGCCCAAGCCGGAGCGGCGTCCCCTGCTGAGCCCCGAGCGCCGGGTGAGAGGAGGGTGCGCGCAGCCCCCATCCAGGGCCCCGAGATTCCAGACCCGGCCCCGCGAAGGGCACCCCGAGCGCGGCCCCCAGATTCCAACCCAGGAGCCGGTGAGAGAGGCGCTGGCGGCCAGACCGGCCTGGCTGCCCCCACCCCGCCCCCACTCCGGCGCCCCTCCTGGGCTCCTCCGCCCGCGCCCAGCCGGCCTCTCTCATTGTCCTCGCTCGCCCCGGCCTCGTGGCGCGGGGAGGCGTTACGTTCACGTTTCCCCTTGGCTTTTGCCTCGGCCCCTGTCCTCCACCCACTTCCTCTGCCCCCAGGCTCCACACCCACCCGGTCTGTGCGGCCTGTCCGTCCCCGGGTGCCACGTGTTCGGCCTGCCAGCCCCGCCCAAACGCACCCTTCAGCCTGGCCGCCAGCCTGACCCAGAACCCCTGCGCCGGAGGGAGGGTGGGAATGTTTGCACGTGGGTCTGGGTGTGAGCTGCCTGGGAGCCTGGATGTATGGCTGTGGAAGTCCAGGAGCAGGGGCTTTGTTTGTGAGTGTGGGACTTCGTGTGTTACTGTCACCCGGGTGTGTCTGTGACTCTGTAGTTTATGTGTCTGAGTGTGGATGACTAGCTGGGACCAGGGTGTCCCTGTGATTCTGTGTGCCTGTGAGACTCGCCCCGCACCCTGAAGCACTGCCAGAAGTGGCTGCCGCTCTCTTGGAACCATAGCTGGAGCCATCGCCCAGGCAAGACCCCTTCCTGCCAAGCCCAGAGCTGTGCTGTCTCCAGGCCCAAGCATCCCCTGTTCTGGGAATCAGAACCAGCTGTGCTGGGCAGGGCCCAGAGTCCTGGTCCCAGTCCCACGGGGCTGGCTTTGAGGTCTTACTTAAGTGAGGGGTGCCCCTGCCCCAGCCTTTATTTTGAGGTTTTGCTCTAGTGGGAAGGGAAAACGTAAACATCCAGTCCGTATTTGGGGCCCCGGGATGCTGAGGGAACTTCCCAGCCTGGTCCCAGTTGTCTGGGCCTGCTTGCTGCTGGGATCTGAATGAGCAAACCACTTCCTAGCGTGGCTCCTGGAAAGGCTAAATGAAGTCATGAGTAGAAAGTGCTCCTGCATGGTAGGTGCACAGTATTGTCTGTCTTCCCCCTTCCCCAAGCAGTGAGTTCTGGGTCGAGGATGCTGCCCTGTGGGATGTCGTCTCAGGGGCACTGGTGCACAGGAGGGTCTATAGATAAACATATTTCCATACTTAGGTACAAACCACTGTGGTCAGAGTTCACATGTCTGTGTTCCCGGGAAGGTGTGAGTGTGTAGATTTGTGCAGTGAGGGTGCCTGAGTGTGTCAGTGAGGTGGAGGACAGTAAGTGTATGTGGCTTAGTAGTGGGGTATGCTTGAGGATGTGCACTTAACGGAGTTGCTGGGAACTGTGCCTGGGTGTCCGTTTGCAGGTGAATAATGTGAGTCGCTGAGTGTGAAAGGGTATGAGCAGGTCAGTGTGGGGTGTGGCCCATGAGTGTGCGAAGCTGGGCGGGAGGTGGGTGGGCAGTCTTGCCTGTCCCGCCCTGACCTGCTGGATATGTTTCTCTCCTACCCTGCTCAGGCCGGCAGCCGGATGCCCGGGCCCACTGGGCGGGCCAGCGGCCGCCTGCGGGATGAGCAGACTGCTGGGGGGGACGCTGGAGCGCGTCTGCAAGGCTGTGCTCCTTCTCTGCCTGCTGCACTTCCTCGTGGCCGTCATCCTCTACTTTGACGTCTACGCCCAGCATCTGGCTTTCTTCAGCCGCTTCAGTGCCCGAGGCCCTGCCCGTGCCCTCCACCCAGCTGCCAGCAGCAGCAGCAACTGCTCCCGGCCCAACGCCACCGCCCCTAGCTCCGGGCTCCCTGAGGTCCCCAGTGCCCGGCCCGGTCCCACGGTTCCCGTGCTGCCACCCTGTTCTGACTCACCACCTGGTCTTGGTGAGCCTGGAGGGTAGGGCCTGCCTTTGGGGAAAAGAGGGTCTTACCAGTTTGACAGAGAAAAGGTGTCTAGACTCATGGGGGTGTCAAGGGTCCAGGTCTAAGAGGGCTATTCTTGGGGTTTCCTAGCCCACCCCCAGGCTGAGGGTGGGGGCTGGTATCTGTGGATTCTGACCAACGCCCTGATTCCTGACACTGTCCTGCTTGCAGTGGGCAGACTGCTGATCGAGTTCACCTCACCCATGCCCCTGGAGCGGGTGCAGAGGGAGAACCCAGGCGTGCTCATGGGCGGCCGATACACACCGCCCGACTGCACCCCAGCCCAGACGGTGGCGGTCATCATCCCCTTTAGACACCGGGAGCACCACCTGCGCTACTGGCTCCACTATCTACACCCCATCTTGAGGCGGCAGCGGCTGCGCTACGGCGTCTATGTCATCAACCAGGTGCCTATGCGGGGCCTGTGTGCCTATTGGTGTATGTGTGGGTTGGGGGCATTTGTGGGTCCTTGTCTGCCCATGGCCATGTGGATATGTGGTTGTACCTGGGCGTAGGAGTCTGTTTGTGTGTGCGTCGAGGGGTGTGTGTGTGAATGTTGGCATGCACACTGGCAGGTGTGTGCATGGTCTCAGAAGGGGTTGAGCCCCACTCTCTACCCTTGGCAGCCCCCACTCCATGGTGGTGCAGGCCTAGGGTATGCTGGAGGAGGAGGTGTTGAGGGCCCTGAGGAGAGGGAGCTGGACCCTGAAAGAAGGATGAAGCCTGCAGAACCCTTTGGGATAGGTGCCAGCCCAGCCTGAGGCCAGCACTCAGCTCAGCATCTTAAGGCCTTTGATGGGCCTGGCTAGGGCTGGCCACTAGGTCCCAGAAGGGACCTCTGATGCAGGCTCCTCTGGCCCGACCACAGAGGCCTCCTAGACTTGGACATGGGTCCCTCCAGTAGGATGGGGCACAGGTGGAGGTGGAGCAGGGGGCCGTGGAACATGGAAGGCAGTTGTTGGGAAGCAGTTGTTGAGATGGGTCTTAAGGGATGAATAGGCGTGAGGGGCTGAGGAAGCCAGCATTCTAGGCAGAGGGACCTGGAGGATGCAGGCCCAGTGAGAGGACTGGCCTCGTGTTCAGGAACTATTGGCTGAGGTGTGGTGTCCAGCATGTGGCTGGTTAGCAAGGATGTGGCTGGAGGAATTGGAGGTCAAACTGAGAAGTGCCTTGGGAGGCCCGCTGGCAGTGAGTCCGGCCCAAAGGTGGCAGGGCAGCATGGCAGGTTATAAGGGGAGAGGGACTTGTACGTTTGCTTTGTAGAAGGGTTGCTCTGGGCGCATATGGAGTGTGGATGGAGAGGGGAGATTAGAGGCAGCGTGGCCCATTTGGGAGAGAGGATGATGCCCAGGAAAGAGGTAGTGACCCTGCGGATGAATGGGGTGGGAGTTGCGGGGAAGAAGCGGGATGTTACGCAAGTAGTGGAGAGTGAGAGAAGAGCTACGTCAGGACAACGCGAGGGTTTCCGCCTTGGCCGTTGGCTGTGCTTGTGAGTGAGATGG